AAGGGGAGGATGGGGAGGATGGGATAGGGATGGGGAGATATGGGGGGGTAGGTAATTAGGTTCGGTCTGAGGAAGAAGGACGACCAGGGCTAATTCCTCAGACCAAGAGCCTCTTCACCACGCAAGGAGCCCCCCTTTGAATGGATAAGAGGTCAGATGTAAACCCCCAGAGTAAGGCAGAAACCTTTGTACCAGAAGTGGGAAATGAAATGTTACCAGCAGAAGGTACTGTGGTGTTAGAAAAGTCTAAATGGCCAGATAACTAAACCTCAGTTAGGTTATTTTTCTTTTTCCGAAGAAAAAAGTTAAAGGGGAAAAAAAGGGGGGGGGGAGGAGGAGGGGGACCATGGGGAAAGGCATCACCTAGGAGGATTTATATTTTTTTTTTTTTTTTTTTTTTATTATCACACTGGCCGATTCCCACCAAGGCAGGGTGGCCCGAAAAAGAAAAACTTTCACCATCATTCACTCCATCACTGTCTTGCCAGAAGGGTGCTTTACACTACAGTTTTTAAACTGCAACATTAACACCCCCATTCCTAGGAGGAAGGAGTCCTAAATCCCCCTCTGCATTCGAGAGGATCTCAGTGCGGCCAGTAGTGCAGATGCAACATGGAACCCATGCCATACCCTACCCTTCATTCCAGTAGCCGCAATCCAGGATAGCAACCTCACATCCAACTTGGACAAGAGGGCAGTCATATACCTGCCACAAGGCAGGAATCGGAGAATCAGACAGGAAGCCTCCAGAAATACACCAGTCACCCAAAAGATATTGTAAGCCTTCCCCTCAGGAGACCCAAGAGATATCAGGATATCCCAGATGAGCCAGATTCCACTGCAAACCACACCACTACCAAGGATCTCAACAGAATGGATGAAGATATCCTTTCCTCAACCTAGGAACCAGAATGCCTGAGGACCCCAAAGGCCAAAAGCAGGACAGGGAGAGGGGAGGGATGGGGAAAGGAGGAATGTGGAGAATGAGGCAGGGAAAAGGGGAGTGGGGATAATTAGGTTTGGTTGGAGGACGAAGACTGACGGGTTCAATTTCTCAGACCAAAAGCCTTGGAGCCCCCCCCCCTAAAGGAGGAAAGGAAGGGGGGGGGGGAAGAGCCAAAAAGCCCACCCTCAAAGAGGCAAATAATGCATAACAAAATGTGTAAAGTTAATTCCTACTTTTTTTTTAGTTAGGAAAATTTTTTGGTCAGTCCCAAAACCCATTACATGCCTCTAATCTTTTGACTACCAGCTACAGGATGGGTATGGGGTACAAAGATAAACTATCAAATATAAACCTTGATTAATGAGATTACAGCAAGTTCAGAGTGGTGGTGGAAGATGAGGAATGTAAATTTTTTCTATATTCTAGGTAAGAATAGGCCTGGATGTAGGCAAAGGTGGTTCTATATTTACACCAAGAAAACTTTAGCTATTGATTCAAGAGGTTCACCTAATTGACAAGCCAGTTCAAGGGTGGTCTCAGGACTCCACTTACAAAACATCACCTTATAGAGTTAAGGATATGGGGAACCAAACAAGCAAGTGTAGGGTACTGCATGAAAGAGGGCTAATATTTTTTTTTATTATCACACTGGCCGATTCCCACCAAGGCAGGGTGGCCCGAAAAAGAAAATTTTTCACATTATTATTATAATCAAAAAGAAGCGCTAAGCCACAAGGACTATACAGCGCTGCAGGGCAGGAAGGAAGTGAGGGCATCAGGTGGCAAAAGGGAGATGGATGAGCAACAGGTTACGGATAACAGCGGGGCAGTGGATGGTGAAAGGGTAAAGGCCAAGCAAGTGACGAAGCCAGAAAGGGCTGAGGGGAGTGCGAAAAGTATCATCAGAGTTTGTGGAGTAAATCGGTCGTTGTCAAGAGTCAAGAGGAGTCAGGATTAAAGGAGGGTTCCATCAGCAAGGAAGGGAAGGTAAAGAGAAGAGTAGTAGAACGAAGACGACGTTGGAGGGGTAAATTCTGCGGGAACTCGTTTTGATATAGAGAGGGCAGTCGTTCTAAACAGAATGTGGCTATCGAACTGGAACTTGACATGCTCACAGAGAGGAACAGGGTGGCTCTCCATGAGATACCATGTGTATGAGAGTGTGGCCAATGCGAAGGCGGGAGAGAGTGCGTCTCCCAACTTCGGCACTGATGTTGCATAGAAGACGGCCAGTATACCTATGCTCGGTTTAATAGATGTAGTTTGATTTACCGAGCAGAGTTGACCACGTTGGTTCCAACGGTCGTGCGAAGGTGGGTAGCTATTGCAGCAAAATCGTCCAGAATGGACCACCTCGAATAGGAAATTTGTAGGTCATATACTGCTGACCCGCGCAGGCAGTGTCTGCCTGTTCATTGCTGTACGTCGGACATGACCGGGACCAAAACAAAAAACAATATCTTTTTGTTTGGTAGAGATTTACGGCGTAGCGCCAAAGTTGGAATACGGAGAACTGGGGATGAGATGTATCAAATTTTCGGTATTAGCCTGTAGAGCACTAAGGGGTCTGAGACTACTACAAATGGATGACACAGCATAGATGCAATTTACGAATAAGTGCTGCAAGATGGCATTACAGTTCAGCCAGTAAAAAATCGTTGCTGAAGATAGTAAATGCCTCGTACGACGCCTGCCGGAAACACCTGCTGCGAATCCGACGCCGTTGAAGACTTAGAAGACATCTGTGTACCACAGCTGGTGCATGAGAATGGGAGTGGAAGTGATCAAGGAGAAAAGAGGCGGGAAGCCACGTAGGCAGTTGAGTTTCGAACTGCAAGGGAGTGAGAAAGAACAGACCCGAACGCTGAGAAACTTCCCTGGGGGGCAGGGAAAAAGTGAGATGCTACATGAAATATAAAGGTGTAACTGAAGGGAAGACAACGAGTGAATGTAGGCGACAGAGAAAAGGGACGGAGCAAACAGGGGCGGCGGAAAACGAATAAAAAATGTCTACTATATCAGTGACCATTTATAAATGGAAGGATTGTGTAGATCGGTGAAGCGTACATAGTAACGAAAGGCTATGGGCATCCGGCGATCAGACAACGATGGACATTTGCTTCTGTATAGTAGTGCTCTCAACAGGGGAAGAGCGCAAAAGAAAAGCACCAAGGCACAAACGTAATAAGCCTTGGTGATGGTAGAGTAAGGCTAGAGAGAGTAGAGGAGAGAGCCGCGGAATATAAATTCTGGTCACCTAATCGAGTTTCGATTAAAACGAGGGCTGAATGTAGGGAAGCAGAGTTCCGACGATCAGCTCCCCAGGAAAGATGAGCAAGGGTTTAAGAAGTTTAGGGCTGTGACAAGTTGCTTCAAAAGAGGTAATGTGATTTCCGGTTAAACGACGCGTCAAAAGAGAGAAGGCCTAGAAACCTGACTGTATCACGTTCGGGGATTACGGAGCTCATAGAGATACACAGGATGATCGGAGTTAACGAGCGTCTAGTGGTGAAAGTAATTTGGTGATGAGTTTGGTACTTGAAAATTCTAAACCATGTGTGGTGGCCCAAGTGGGAAACACGGTCGACCGCATCCATGCTGGAGAGAAGAAAATGCAATAAGGTGACACGTCGCGCATGCACAATCAATAGCGAAGGTCATCAACATAGAGTGATTGACCAATATTGGGTGGAAGAACAGAGGGCCAAACATTATAGCAAGGGGGGAAAAAGTGGTGTTTAAAAAAACACCCCGGGGGGGCACCTTCGCTTGGACAAAGCCCGGGGAAAGAACATTATTGACTCAAAACCGGAAATGTCTGCGTTAAAAAGTTTTAAAGGGAAAGGATGGTAGATGTCGGGGCCTAAGGGAAGGGCCGGGGCCCAAAAATTATACCCCAAGTTGTTCAATGCCTTCTAAAGGTCAAAAATTGGCAAAAAACTGAGTGATTTTTTCGCGGGGGCTTACGAACATAGTACCCAAGGTAGTAAGGGGTTTTGGGTAGAAGACCCTTACAAAAGCCTATTGATAGCGGAGAGTGTTGTGAGTCTCAAATCCCCAATTTAAAAAACGTCGATTTACGAGGGTTCCTCACTTTGCAAATGCACTTGTAAGAGGTGGGGCGTAGTGGGGGGAAAGTCTGTAGACCCCGGGTTTTCGGAAAGGGAAAAATTTAAAAGGGGGAAGGGCAAAAAGGGGGGTTAAAGGCCCGGGGGGGGTGGGGAAGGATTATTTTCGGGGGGCTAAAAAAACCCCCCCGGCCCCCCCAAAATCAAGGAACCTTCCTTGGGGGGGAAAAAAAAGGGTTTAACTGGGGAAAAAACCCTTTTCCCCAAAAAATTAAAGGGGAACTCGGGACTTTTAAAAAAAGGAAAAAGAAAAGGATAGGCCCAGGGAAGTGGAGGTGAGAGGTTTGCCCCCATTTTAAAAATGGGAAAAGGATTAAGTTTTTCCAAAAAAATTTTGGGAAAAACTTGACTTTGAGGAAAAAAGGGGGTTTTTAGAACCCCCCGGGGCGGGCCCATTTTGGAAGTTTTCAAGGGTTTTTTTCAAAC